TGGCGATGATGGGGCTGGATGTGAAGCAAAGAGCTCGTTGGTGTCAATTATTACAAATATGACTGCATGGCACATGGCCTTGTGAAAATCTAGCAGTATTTCACCATCCTCTTTGCCTGTCATATCTTCTGGAAAACATAAGCTTCTGGCGGTCAAGGTAAAGGTTTATCTGGGCTACTGCAGGCAGATCTTATTTTTAGATATGTTTATGGTCATGCTGTATTTTTTTTTCCCCCCTACATCTGGGGAGGTTATGGGTGGCTAGATAAGATGTAGAGGATTGATTGATTTGGTTTCATAAAAATGAAAATCATTCTGAAAGATCATCTACAAAATTCACGAGCAAACAAAAAGCTAGGAGAAGATATTTGCATCACGTGTGACAAAAACTTAAAGGATAAATATCCTTAAAAAAAAAAAATCTGTAAATACTATAGAAAAATAGGCCAAGGGCATAAGGGGATAACCCTAAGAGTCTCTGTACTTGCTAATAGACATGAAAAACTCACAAATCAACACATTGCAAAAATCTCTGAAAAATTATCCACTGGCACAGATTTATATTAGGGCTATCAAACTTTGATGAGATGGTCACATAAACTGCCGGTGAGACTGCCAGTTGGGAAAGTCTTTCTGGAAGAGAGCTTTGTGTTATGTCTCAAGAGCCTTAAAAATCTTCTGACCCTTTAGTCTTTGGAGATTCTGTTCCAAGGGATCGGGGTATACACAGGGTTTGTCATGCAACACCATCGTTTGTAACTGTTAAAACAGACATGGTCCTCCCAGGTGACCACCAGTGGAGTTGTAATTTCTGCAGCAGAACCTCATATCACTGTTAAATAGCATAGTTTTGAGGAATAATGAGATGTGTATATGATAGAATAGGTAGGAGCACTTGTCGATGTGGAATTTTAGGGCTGCCTTCTTTTCTCTTGGAATGCTGGAGACGTCACTTTTTCTTTTCTTTTTTTGCTATTATATGGTAAATCCTTATATAATATCTATAATATAATAAAAGACAATATACTAATTTTTCCTTGGTAAACAATCTGTTTTTGTTTGCGTACTTTTTTTTTTTTGAGAAAGTTTTCAAGATTTTATATCTTTAAAATTCTGACATTTTACCAGGATGTATCAGTGGTGTCTTCTTTTCAATACTCCTTGCCCGGCACTTGAGATGTCCAGTGGATCTGAAGTTTGTTTTCAGTGAGGATGTTTTGTCTGTTAGTTTTTGGACTCCTTATTCATCTCTTCCCTGATGGTCTGTGGGAATTCCTCCTTTACAGATATCGGTTCTTCTGGCTCTGACATCTCTTTGTAGAATTGTTCTAACAATTTATGTTTGGTTCCCAATAATGCATCCATCAAGAGATTTATTTTAGAAGTCGTATTTAAATTCTAAGAACTCTTTTTGGTCCTTTAGTTACTACTTTTCCTTTGAGGATATGAATTAGAATTGTTTTTAAAAATACTCTCCTGATTCTTACATTAATTATGTCCCATTGGGTGTTAACCCCACTCTGCCTGTCTAGTCTGCTTTCTGCTTGTTCATTCCCCTCTGATGCCCAGTGACACCCCCATTCTCTCCCCCGTGAGACTTCAGAGCCAACGCTGGGTCCAGCTCTCATGTAGGCTTAAGGAGGTGTCCTTGAACTTGCTTTTTGAAGTTAGGTCCTCAATTGTCAAATTAGGTGTACTTTTTTTTTTTTCTGTGTTTGGTGCTTCTGATTCATTTTGGTGAGGATTGCAGAGGGGGTTTTTTTTTTGTTTGGTTGTTTTTTTTTTTTTTTAAGGTGATTTGTGCTTTCACATTTCCAAGAAGTCTGCAGTGTTTTTGTAATGAAACAAACATTTTTATACATTATTGCTGTCTTGGACAACCAGGTTAGAGGCCTTGGCGCCATTTCGACCTTCCCTTTCCCTGTGCCCTCTACACTGGCCGGTTCTAGTTCTATTTTGCTCTCCAGTTTTCCTCTTACCATCTACCCTTCTTTTCTTTCACGTCGCTGTGGCCCTACAGCCCCCATTTCTCACCTGCACAGACACTCTAGGCTTCTGATCTTCCTCTCTCCACTTAGCCTTTTATTTTGTCCACCTTTCTTCATATAAAGTCCCTTCCCCAAGCGCAGATCTGGCCATTATCCTTATCCCTTTGAGCACTCTTTTCTTAGATTCTCCTCTTTTTCCCGCTGAATTGAGTACAACCCCTTTAACTTGGCACCCTCCAGAGACTAGCTGGTCTTAGCTAATCTGCTTGCCAACTCCTGTGCAGTGAGCTGCTCGGTGACTCAATTTCCTGCTTCTGTCATGCACCTTGTACGTGGCTGGGATCGGTTCAGGGGAAGGGACAGTCTGGAGGTGGCAGAAAGCTGGCATCATTGGACTCACCCGTTGGTGGTTGTCTTGGCAACACCTGTACCTGGAGAGTCAAATATAGGAGGCCCCGGGTGAAGGAAGAAGAGCCTGAGAGAGACAATCACCAAAGGCTTAGGAAGAGGATAAACCTTGCTGATTGCTTATTCCTGATGGTGAGGCTGAAATATGTGTTCAAGGAAAGGACCAGTAAGTAGCTGAAGAAAAGGTCTCTAGTCATAGGAACCTGAGCAGCCACACAAAGCAGCTGTCCTAGCAGTAGCCGTACAGCAGATGTATAGCAGATGAGGGGATATTCTGTGTTCTGCCTCTTTGCAAACTTTGCCACTGCCAGGTATTGTTGTAGTTGTTGTTGTTTGGAATTGTCATAAAACCCTTTAAAGTAAGAACGTATGGAAAAGGTTAGTTCCAAGTAATTAACATATGCCATCTCTTTCAGGGTTACAAGTAGAGCTAAGCAGTGTTTGTAACTTCCCTTCTGGCTATCGAAAGTCTGTACTTTTATATATTGGAAACTGCATAGCAAAGTGGGTCCTCATATCCCCTGTAAGCAGCAGGAAAGATCAAGAGAAAATATAATGACCCATTTGTCCTTGTTCTTGAAAAGGGAAAATTATTTTAAAAGTCACTAAATGGCACTAAGTCGCATAGATTTATTCCTTAATGGGCTTTGTTCCATCTGGTGAAAGGCATGTCCCTGTTTCTCAAACTGGCACATATCTCCCTTGGGTGTGCATGATCTTGTGCTAAGGAGCCACATGGCACGTTTGGGATGCCACTTCTGAGGGGCGGGGAGGGAAATATCTGTAAACCAGCATTTCTCAGCCTTGGCACGATTGACATTTGGAGCTGGATGATTCTTTATTGTGGGATTTGTCCTGGGCACTGTAGGGTGTTTGTTTTAGCAGCACCCGTGACCTCCACCTATTAGATGCTAGTAGCTCTCCCCCAGTTGTAATGAACAAAGATGTCTCTAGACATTGGCAGATATCTCCTGGAGGGGAAAATCACTCCTGGTTGAGAGCCACTGCTTTAAACAGATATGGATGTGAACAAGAATGCAACATGTGCAGGAACATTTAAACCAAAAGAACCACCACAGAAAAATTCGGTGTCTATACCTAGCTCCTCTATTGCATTGAGGCAGAGCTTAATTTTCTGGCAACTATTTTATTTTACTCTAAAATTTTGTATAATTTTCTCTTATTTATTTAGATTTCACCCCTCACCCCACCACAACCACACTGGCTCATTTGAAGTATTTGTTGAATGAAAAGTACCCCTAACAGAATTCCTTGAACCAGGAGGTTGCCTGCTTGTATTTCTAAACTTCTTGTAAGTGGGTCCTCACATTTGTAGGACAGCTTGGCCAGGTTTATTCATTCTCGGTGGGAATTTAATTGATGCTAACATCTGACATCATTCTCATCAATGTGCCAGTGAATGTTCTCTGTCCCTTCTCACCCCTACCCGCTTGTGGTGTTTTTTTCCCCCACATAAAAATTTAGGCATGCCCAGGCGTATTTTATTGTATATGTGCCAAGCCTTGTAGGGCTCCTTTGTGCCCTCTCAATTTTTGAAGCCAAATTCTCCAAACGCTTATTAATCTATGAGTGGATCTCTTTTATTTTCATACTTCTGCTGTTTGAAGATGAGGTTTTAATTTTCTTCTTCACCAAAACGTGGCTGTGTAGAATTGTTTCAGTAATTTCCCGCTTTTGACTTCTGCTTTGGATTTTTGTTAGCTTAGAGCCTTGCATGATTGTAATACCAGATTCTCTGAGATTCTCTGAGCATGTCAGATCCATCCTGGATCTAGTGCTGTCGATCTCCTTTCCCCTCTTCCTGTATCTCCAAATCTCTTGCTATTTTAACCCCCCTCCTCCTTTATTGGTTGGATTTTTTTCTTTAGGGTTATGTTCTCATTTGCTCGATATCGGATGTTTTGGCTCTATTTTTTTGTGTGGCATTCTAGCCCATTTAAAGCTCATCTTGCTACCTTCCTGGAATTCCATGTGTCATTCAATTCTAGATTGGTTTTATCTCCTCTTTTTCGTACTTTTGAGTGCCTTCCTCTGCCTTTAATCGAGCACATGTAGGGAATTTAGAATTTTAATATCCATTTAATCATAGCAAATTGGCTATAACTGCACTTTGTAGTATGGGTGACACTAGCTACAAGTGGCAATTTAAATGTAACTTAATTAAAATTAGATAGTTAAAAATTCTGTTTATTGTGCTAGCCATATCTCAAGTGCTCAGTAGCCTTGTGACAAGTGACGACTAGGCGAGACAGGGCAGTTACAGAACATTTCTACTGTTGCAGAAAGTTCCGTTGGATAGCGCTGGGCTATAAAATGTAGACCATAATGCACGTCAAAGAAAGACCTATTTTTATCTCTAATATGCTGATATTTTGAGATATGTTCCTCTCCAGGGGATAATTTAGAATCAGTGAGTGACCTTAAACCAAGAGGGTGGGGACTTGGAAAATGTTAAGTACTGTGTCCTTGGGTGTTTGGGTGTAACTTGTATTCTGACTTTTCCGTCCAGAAAACATGATAACCATGTGTCTGTCCTGTGTTGTTTGTGTATTGAAGTGACTTGGCTTCTTTCTCCTTTTCTAGATGCTAAGAAATGGTGCTGGTGGGGCTCATCTCTGCCTGATAATTGGGTGCACTGGAAGAGCCAACTCTGATCCTGGGCTCCCTGCTTGAACAAGCCTTCACTACCAGCCACTCCAGTCCAGCGGCCAAACTACTTGTTTTTCCTTAATGATGGGTATTGGTAAGAATACTACGTCCAAGTCCATGGAGACTGGGAGTTCAACCGAAGGCAAATATGAGGACGAAGCAAAGCACCCCGCTTTCTTCACCCTTCCAGTAAGGGCATTCCCTGCCATCCTTTCCTCTTGAATCACTCTAAAGTAGTTTCTGTATTGAATCGACATAGGGTTAGCTTTAATACTCATGTTTTCAGTGAAGGTTAAGGCACTCGAAAACCAAATGCGTTTCACATGAGAGAGTCTCCGGGGATCCCTGTGGGCTGACTCTGGTTTTGACCCTGTGCTGTGGCTGCAGTCACCTGATGGGATTAGCTCCCAGAAGAAACTATGCTTACTGTGAATGCTGTGAAACTGGCTCAGCGCCCACTCTGTACTGGAGGATGTTGAAGGCTTAGTTTAATCTTCAAAAATGTATCCTTGTGAAATAGCCTGCAACCCAACTTCAGACTTGTATTACAAGGTGGGAGAGTAAATGAATGACTTATTGTTTAGATGCCCATGCTTTGCATTATGGTAGCAGTGCCCAAGATAGAGGTAGTTTTATCTGGACAATTAATATCAGTCAGGTAAGGCCGATGACACACATTCATTATCATTCAGGGCTAGTATTTTTCCAGATATAGGATTATGACTTAATGTATGTAAAGTTACCTAAAGCATTGGTTTGACAAATATGTGGTGACAGAAAGAAATCTAACTATGGGAGGTGAATACACAGTGTAAATATATATATGCCTTACTGTTAAAGTATACAGCTGAAACTTACTGGATTTCGTTAACCAATGACACCGTAAAAATAAATAAAAAATTAATTAATTAATTAAAAGAAAAACACTCTTTAGAGAGAACTTGCCTCAAGGTGTTTTTCTCTTAAGATTGGAAATGAGGTTGATAACAAGAATACCATTCTAGGATTCCTTAAAAGATGGTCCTGGAATTTGCCTCACAGCAGTGTAGTGAGAAAGATACGGACTTGATGTCTGTAAGTACATTGGTTGACCTGACTTGCATTCACGTTCCGATATTTTCTATATTAATTCACAGAGAGGTGATCTACTGATTTTACAGCTGACATTAATGTTTTATTGTGTGAAGCGAAATTTTGAAATAGGATTTTCTGTCATATTGAAGGCTTAAGGTCAACACAGGTTTTTTAGAGTAAGAGACAAGTCAGTTTTCCAGATTTAAATTAGATCATCTTTGAAAAAGAAGGAAAGTTTCATGCCTGGATATCAGCTTGTCTCTACCATACTGATGAGGTGTGGAGGCTGAGCAGGGCCAGCAAAGGGGACAGGTAAGAGGTGGTTGCTGAGGTAGGAGGGGAACCAAAGAAGCTCCATCCAGGTAGCCAGTGACTCAGGCATTGTGAGAGTGAGCTAGACTAGGAATAAGGATAGACTTTCAGATTTAGCCAGAACACAGCGGCTGAGGTTCGTGTGGGTGTGATTGCAGTGATGCGCCGCGGACCCTAGGTGATGTAAGGAGGGAATTGAGGCTGATGCAGGGGATGGAGGGGCTTTGAAAAGTGAAACATCATTCGGGACAAGAGTTTGGCAGGCCTGCTGGATTGGGGTCTTTGGGAGCATCTAGGAAGAAAGACAGGTGGATGAAGAACAGGCAGCTTTGGTGAAAGCTGTTAGAAGAGTAGATCTGACCAGATTTGGCGTTGGGTTAGATGCGGGTGGCCAAGTACAACTGAAGTCAAGAAGGGTTTTGGGGTTAGGCACCTGGGTGTCTGGTGGTCCCTGCAGATAAATTAAGAAACACAAACAAAACAGAGGATGCTTTTTGTGTTTGTTTTTAAGTTGATTTGGGGAAGTAAATGAATTCATAGAATATGGAATTAAGATTCTGCTCTTTTGTGGTACTTTGTGTCCATTTAGTGAGGAAAGCACTGATCCATCCCTCGGCCCCTGAGGAGTCTTTCTCCTGTTGTCTTCTCTCAGCCAGGAAGCAGGTTTCCTGCTTTGTTGCTGAGAGTGACCAGCTAAAATCATATCTGAACACTGTTTACATTGGCATCTCCTAGCACAGAAAACAATTTCCCGATTCACCAGTTAGGAAGAGAGTTGTAAACTGGGCACACTCAGGCATTATAATATTTGAGTTTGCTGGGGCGCCCTGATTTATGCCTGTTGTTCCTGCATATATGTTCATACAACTCCCCTTTATGCCTACAACCGTTCTGGTTTGTATGATGAATTATGTGGTCTCCGTAATTACAACCAAACTTAAGCATATGAAATAGCTGAAAACATTTTTTACTTTTTTCAGAGAAACTTTTTGAAACATCTTATGTGATTAGACTTACACACATACACAAAACCCTTCTGTTTATAAAAGTAATAACATGTTCGTATTACAAAATTTTTGAAAATACATTAAGGCATTTAGAAGATAAAGAATATTTTTGAATTGAATTGTTACAGAATTGATCAGAAAACACAGTTGGGTCCCTTCCTTCCTACCTTCTGTAGTTACCGCAAGTGAATTACGCTCCCCATCAGTAAAGATGTTGCTCCTGTCTTTTGAATTGTAAGTAAAGGCAGGAAAGTTTTTTTTATTTAACAGTTCCATTTATTTTCATACCTGTAATCTAATAGTTACATGATGGAAATACTCCAGAGGAATCAAACTGTGTGGCAGTGAATGAAAATGTGTGAGAAAATTTCTGCATTCAACAGATCTGGCTGAAAAACTCAAGTTAAAATGCTAGGTAGAACAAATTGTTCTTTAAAATATCAATTCCTTTCCTTTGAAACAAATTACTGAGTCACCCAAGAAAATACAAAAACATAAGTAAATAATAATTATTAGTGTTTAGGCTATTACAGTGCGGGTTATCCTCAGGACACACACATCAAAGGCAGGAAAGTTGAAATATTAAGTAGTTAATAGAAGCTGGTGATTGATTGTAAGAAAGTCTATAAGGAAAATAAAGGAGACAATGACAGAAAAAGAGGCCTGGATCAGACATAAGAACGTATATGAAGAAAACACTAACCCAGGAGTGAGAGGTTTGGGAGGAACTAGGACAGAAGGAGGGGGTGGCCAACAGCTTTAGAGAATAGGGGCGAGCTGCCCTCCTGTAAGAGACCTGAGACCCCAGGGGAAGTGGCCGAATGGGCGTGCTCTTAGGTGGGAGGCCAGCAGCTCAGAGCCGTGCCCTGTAAGAATGCAGCCAGGGCAGCTGATGCCCCTTTCCTTCCTTTTCTCTTTCTTGTCAGATCCCTCTTCTTCCTCTGCTTTCAACCTCCCGCCTCCTTCTCCCCTCCCCTCCCTTGCTTTTCTTGTAGGAGAAGTGACCTTGGCAGGCATGGGGAGGGATAGGTGAAGAAACCATATAATGGTAACCTTGATTCCTGTAGGCCTGTGACTCTGGATGGCAGATTTGAACATACTCATTCTCAGCAGTGAAAAGAAAGCACAAGATTTTTTTTGGGTGCAAACAGTCCTATTTTAAAAACCAAGCAAGGAAGGCTAGCTAGAACATGTCCTTGTTCTTATAACTTTAGTACCAGTTGCCATGGAGTTTCTTCTTGTACATTCCTGAATAGAGGGTTTGGAGTTGTTAGATCTTAAAATGGAAAGTCTCAGTTGAATGGTAATAATAGGTGTCTTGGAAAATGTTCTCTCTCTGTAAGAATAATTAGATCTTGGGATCAACAGTGTGATTCTGAGAAGGGTCTGAGGATGACTCTGTTTCCTGGAGCCAGCCCAGGGACTTGGTTCAGTTCCCCTATTTTCTGTAAGATAAGGGCTAGAATCTACTGCATGATAAGCATGATTTAGGGCAGGGGATGCTCTTGATAGTTCAAAATTGAACAGCCAAGATGAGCAGCCTTCTTGTTTAAAATGTCTAAGTTGGGGAAAATTTTATAGAAGAGGACTATGCTGATACATGCTTTGAAATAAAAACACTGAAAAGATGGGATGCGAATGAACATTTTTATGCATGGTAAGAGGTTCTTTACCTTTCTTTCTAGAGTTTTTGATCTTAATGAATTTTTCTGCTCTGGTATTGAGGTTACACATAGTTGCTCATATTGCGGCTTACTTTTAGTTTGAATAGAGTTTTGGTAGCTGTAAATGAGATGTCAGATGTTAGTAATACAAAATGGCCATCTAATAGTTGAGACATGTACAGTTTGCTGTGAATGATCTTAAAGTAACAGAGCTGCTGCAGTCATTTCTTAGAGCAGGTTTACGAAGTGGATTATCCCTCACTTTTGTATGAGGCCCGATTCACAGACTCTTGGTCCTAAAAAGGGCCTTAAATAAAGGAAATCTTGTCCATTCTGCTCACATTCAGTGCTTGCTTTGTGCTCCAAGCACAAATAACAGAAGTGGTTGTCCAGGCTTGCTGCCTTCCCTGCCCTACAAGGCCCACCCTCAGCACTATCCCTGCTGCCAGTGTTTTCTTTGGATCATTTCTTGCCTGGATCATTATGATGGCCTCCCTGTGGCCTCCCTGCCTCCCAGCCTTGTGCCTTTCCAGCCCCTGACTGGGATTCCTGCCTGTGTCTTTTGCATTCCTAGACTACTTAAGACTTCCTTTTTTTCTGA